AGTTAACCTATCTTATGAAATGCTTCAAAGATACACCAAAGCTTTACTAATTTCTTAATCACACTTAAAGCAACACTTGCTTAAACCCTAATTAATAATAGGTTTGAATAGCAACCTATATTTCTGATGATCCTAAAAATCTGAGAAAATTACAGTAGCATACTACTACCCTAAACAGACTACCATAAAAATTTCATGGCATTTGGATAAGTAAACTATCCTACACAAAAATGACAAGCTATAGCCTAAAAATGAGCATGAATTTACTTTGTACTATGAAAAGTGTCAAACAACAGAATTAGTATTTTTTCTAGATTCTAAACAGTAAATAATCACTATACAAAAATTACTACATGCATGTTTTATACAAATTTTGCTCTCTAGCAAAAATAACAAAAATCAGCCATCTAAGGTACTTGAACTACACCTCAAAATTTTCCCACAGCACATGCATGAAACATATTTTTCCTAGGAAGTGCATGACATAAGAAGATTAACAAACTTGGAATCATATTTTTCTGAAGCCTATATATTTTTCTACATATTTTTCAAGTTATCAGCAATATTCAAGATTAAATAAAATCCTATAGAAAAGTATCTCAAAAATGACATGCACAATTTTTCCCAAGTAGATCTGATGATAAGGAACCTAGCAAAATTTGTTTCAACAAATTTGGAGCAAATTTGAGTACCCAAACATTTTTCAAACCATTTCAAATTTCAAATAATAAAGAATAAATGAAAACAATTCCTTTACGCAATACTGGGCCGGCCCGAAGGGATCCGACGGCCCACGACACAGCGCAGCCCAAGCCTGGCTCCCACCTTCGGCTCGGCGACTGACGCGCGGGACCCGCGTGTCATTGACACAGAGCAGGGGAGACGGCACACGTCGGCGCGGCGATGGACGAGCTCGCCGACGATGATCTCCCCGATGAAATCGACGGCACCGGCGTGCCCTACGTGAAGAACCACGTCTATTGGTACTCTAACCTCGCTCCCTACTGACCCCTAAGCACCCCAGCCACGGAGCTCGGCGGCTCGGCCATGGCGCACGGCGGTGCGCGGCCGCGTTCCGGCCAGACTGGGCCGACGGGGACTGTGACATCATCACACGAGTAACAGTGCGCGACGGAGAAGACAAGGCGGGAGCTAGGGAAGGAAGAGAGAAGCTGCGCTGTGCTAGCCACGACGAGCTCCAACTCCGGTGAGTTGTGGTGGCGGCGGAAACTCAAATGGGGCCACTACCTTGGGTTCTCCGGCTCGACGGCGAGATGGAATAGCTAGGGAGGTGAAGGCGGAGCTGAGCGCTTAATCGGAGGTGGTGATTTGCGGTGGTGAGCTGGCCTTGGCATTTGGCTTGCTCGGCGTCGATGGAGGAGCCGTGGCATTGGCTTGCTGCGAGAGAGCTGTATGTGAAGAAATGAAAAATGAAAAATGGGCGAATGGTCTGGCGGCGCTGGGTGTCAAGGGAGCTTAAGCGAGGCGAGCGGGCGGTGGGACGCGGGCAGGAGCGCCACCCGTGAGCGGCGCCTGGCTGACGGACGTCGCCACGCTGGTGGCCATTGCTGAGCTTGATCGGGCACTGAGCCTTGTGGGCAGGCACAGGGAGGGAGGCCGAGCTAGGCAGGGCCGGGCCATGAATCTGGGTGGGAAGTGAGGCGCAAGGCCCACGAAGGTAAAACAAGATTTTTCAAATTAATTTGAATTCCTTTTTCATTCAAACGAATTTTGGACTAAATCAAAGCAGTTTCAAACTTTGGACCAAAAATAAAAGTTGCTCAAAATTTTATCCTCTACAACTTTGATTTTAAGACCAACATCCAATTCATTATAGATTTTAAATTATAAAATTAAAGTCAATTTTGACTCGAACCCTAATTTTTTTTGGAGGATTATTTTTAAAGCAAAATTTGGCAATAATTCAAATACAAACCTTGCTCCAAAAATTGTGATAAACAATTCTAGATGATTTACAATCATAACCAAACAAGTTCTACTAACCTAGCAAACAAAATCAGGGCAAAACAATTCTAACAAAGGTATGCAACATTCAGGTTTCACAACATGTTTCAGATGTTTCGAAGAAATGTTTCAGTTATTATATGCAAGATTATGCATGCATGATTAGGATGCTTGATGATGCACGATATGTATGATTAGCAATGCCTAAATGCAGGCATAACACCGGGGTGTTACAATGCTGATCCTGCAGATTCAGAAGCGCTACCAGGGCACACAGAGAGCCGAAGTCCAGGCCGTCGCGCCTGGGCCGCCATGACCCAGAAGCCAGCGCGCCTTGCCACCGCCCGCCCGGCCGCTTACCGCTTGAGCCTACGAGCCCCTAGCCGCGCCGCTGGCACCTGGCAGCCTTGCTTCACGCCGTCCGCCCGCCCCTTACTCATTGAGCTCTGGCATACCGGCCGCCGCCAGTAGTACCTAGGGTTAGGGTTCCTTTTTGTTTCAGAAGAAGAGAGCGTGCTCGGATGCGGGAAGGGACAGAGACGAGACCGAGAGGTTGAGATAGAAGAGAAATGAGAGACACGGCTTCAGTTAGGGGTATTTTGTCTGTTCAATGATGGCAAACTTTGACAGATCTCACCGTAAGACCAGATTAGAAAACGAAACTTCGAGTGAGGCCAAATAGATAAGAAATTTTGTTTCAAAGCCAAGGAAGAAAAACAACTTTAAACCAGGGCTAAATAAGAAAATTTCTCTAGAAACAAAGGGCACTATACACGAAAAGCAACGTAGGCGAGAGGGAGGGATGGGGAAACAAACATGGCGGGCCGGAAGACATTCCCCTGCCGCCATCAAGATCGATCGATCCCTTTCCGTCGACGGAGAGACAGGGGAGGCCGTCGATCGCCAGCAGGCCACGGCCGGGAAGCGGCCGGACGTGATGGTCCCGCTGTTGCAATTGCGATCGTCGCAATTGCAATTGCAATTGCAAAGCAATAATAACACGAGCCAAGGACAGAGTGACGCCGCTGCCGTGCCTTCCCCTGTGCGCCGGGTCCCTCGTGTCCTGCGACGCATGCGGCCGCTAATCCCGTCCATAAAGACAGATTTTGGCCGGATTTGTTAAAACGATCGGAGAACCTCATGCTCATGCTCATCCACTCGTGTATCGTTGCAGCTGTGGCGCAGCCGTGCATGCGTTGGATGAAACGCCGCCGTACCAGCGCGGGGACTCCGTCGTGGTTATCTATGCTCGACTGCTCGTGACCTCTTGATCCAGTATATAGGAGAGTATTCATATTCATTCATTGCGTGTGCGCGCCGCCTTGTTGTTTATGAGCCGTCAGCCGCCGCCCTGTTCGTCCGCAACAGGACATGCATGGTTCGTCGGGGTGGCGGTCGACCACGTAATAAATAGTAAAACTTCGATCGATGGTGTAAGTAATCACGTGATCCTTGCTTCGATCACGCAGTCCTGATGGTAAGATTAACACGCATGCATTACACTTTACAGCGACGGATTTGCCGATTTGGTCATGTGATTCATTCATTCACCTAGCTAGATAGCAACAGGAGGAAAGAAACCGATCGATCGCGAAAACAACGTTTCGTCCGGATACAATGATACTGCTTCCCATTTCGGCGTGCTTATCGTGTAGCGCCCTGGCCCTAATACAGCTACGACCTCCAAGTCTCTGCTTAGTGCTTTGTCGTGCTTATCTTTTGATCTTCCGGCGGTACGCGCGCGCGCATCGGCATCGCGTTTCTGTACGTGCGTGGCTACGTGCATACTAGCCGATCGGTGTACACGAACACGACCCGCCTGAGCAAGAGGGGAAGGGAAGCCTCGGTACTCTCGCGTTATAATCCGGCGTCGGCCGGACCACGCAGACTTAAGGCCACTCTCAATGCAGAAATCACCGTAGTTTCTATGAATATTAATAATCACAAGCATTTTGTTGATGTGGCGAGGTAGGATGATTGAAGAGAGAGCAAAAATTCAAATTACAAGTTAAAACACCTACCTGAGTAACCAAAGGCATACGGAAGGGATGTGATTGGTAGAGAATGGAGAGAGAATGTATGTGATTGGATAAAAAGTTGTTCTGTAGAAATTATCCATTGAGATCATAGTTTTTATATGTAGTGTCTATGTAAATTAATAGGTATAGAAACTACGTGTAATTTCGCATTGAGACTGCCCTAACACCTCTGTTCACGTACGCTCGTGAACTGTAGGCTGTTGAGAGGTCTCGTCTAGTGTGGCTCGCCGATCTGCATGTCCAGCCGGGCGGGCACATGCATGGCACGTACGTACGCGCGCGCCTCACCGGAGTTAAAACCTCGGACGTAGTAAAAACCAGAGCAGCACGTTGGTGGTGCACTGCAGCACCTATCCACGACGACAGGACGGTGGATCAAAATGAAACATGGGACGTGACGCGTGGTGTCGAAACGGGCACGATTGAATTTATATTTATCCCACGGTGGTACACAGCACAGCCCCAGTAACCTCCCGATGGAATGCTAGCGCGTGAGCCCCTGCTGCGACTGCGAGAGCAGCAAGGAGACGGGGGTACAGCGGGCGGTACATCCTGCGGGGGTAAGGCTACCGGTGCCGGTGACGGTGAATGGGGGCGCGCGGGCCACCGGCAGCGAGATCGCCATCACCCCCACGTCCCCACCCGCACGCCCAAACCGAATTAGCCGGGCGCCACCCCACACCCACCTCCCCGTCGCCACGTCGGCGCCTCCCTCCGCCCCGCCCGCCGCTATATCTTCACGCCGATCGCTTCGCCCCCTCACCCTTCCTCCCCAGCTTTCCACCACCCTTTCGCGGTTTCGCCACACCACACTACACAGCGCGCACGCTCGGCTCGCTGGCTACGACCAAGCGAGCTCTTCTTCTCCAGTTCTCCCCTGTTTCATGCACCACCGCTCGCTCGGTTCCTCCTAGCTAGACGGGGCTTGCTGCTTGCATTGAGACTGAACGCGCTCCGCTTGTTTCTTTCTGCGTGTCAATTGTTTTGTCTGCTGGGATGGAGAGGTGGGGGGACAAGGACAAGGGGGCGGCTGCGGCGCCGGGGAGGGCGAGGCGGTACGCCGACCAGCCGTCCTTCTCGTCCACGCTGCTCGACGCCATATACAAGTCCATGGACGAGACCGGCGACGCGGCAACACCCGCCGCCGCCGCGACAGCGACCAAGAAGCAGAACCAGGACCTGCACTACAGCTACTACTACAAGGCGTCGCTGGCGGGGAGCTACCGCGGCAGCAGGGCGGCGGCGGCAACGGCCCTGGGGCCGCACGCCGCCACCACGTCGAGCTCCTCCGAATGCTCCAGCTACGGCGGGTTCTCGTCGTCGGAGGCGGAGTCGTCGCAGCACCGCCGCCTGCGGCCCATACGCACATGCGTCGCCGCAGCCACCGCCGGGGCGGCAGCCACCGCGCCCGCGCCCGCGCTCGCGCCGGAGCAGAAGAAGAAGGCCGGCGCCAACATCCGCACCAAGCTGAGGGACCTCCGCAAGCCGGCGTCCCCCGGCGCGCGGCTCGCGGGGTTCCTCAACGCCATCTTCAACGGCAGGCGCGCGCCGCAGACGCCGCCGTCGGCGTCGGCGTCGCGGGGCGCGGCGGAGTCCGCGTGCTCCACGGCGTCCTCCTACTCGCGCTCCTGCCTCAGCAAGACGCCGTCCACGCGGGGCCAGCCGAAGCGGACCGTGCGGTTCCTGGACAGCGACGACGGCGAGGCGGCGGCCGCGGTCCCCGCCCGGAGGGTGCAGGTCGGGGTGGCGGAGCTGGAGCAGATGCTGCTCCACCGGATGGAGATGGACAGCGACGAGGACGACGAGGACGAGGAGAGCAGCGACGCCAGCTCCGACCTGTTCGACCTCGAGAATTTCGCGGCCGTTGCCCCGGACGCCGGCGCCGGCGCCGCCGCGTACAGGGACGAGCTGCCAGTGTACGAGACGACGAGGGTGGTGCTGGGCCACGTCGCCATTGGCCACGGGTACGCGCACGGGAGGAGTACCAGAGTGGTGTGATCTTGCGGCCGGGATTCATTCATTTCCGGTTCCGGAGCGCCAGGGGTAACTGTAAAATGGTAAATGGTGGAGTAACTGTAAAATACAGTACAAGTGAGCGGTTTGTGAGGGAAATGGGATTATTGGGGCAACAAGTGTTTGCTACTCGTACTCGAGATCTCTGGGAGGATTTCTTGGATCCTTTCCTTTTTCCTCTCTTTATTATTTCTCCATTCTTCTCCATGTCGTTGTGTGTGTGGTTAGTTCTAATTTTAGTGGAGTAACTCAGCGATTTGTCATGCTCTTTTGTCCTCTTTCTTTCCCTCTGTCATTTCTTTCTCCTGCACTCCGTTTTTTTTAACGAAATCCGGCATCTTCTCGTGTCATTCGTAGCAAATTTGCCACTGCCACGTGTTGTCAGCTGTTGAAGAAAGCACTCATGGCGTATGAGATCACTTTCTTTGGTTCAGCCTTGGAAAAGTGAATTCCAATCGAAAGCAATCGATTCGGACGCTTGATGAAAAAAAAGGATCGAGCCCGCTCGGCTGGATATCAGACGACGTTTGCGTTTCTATCTCATCGATGGCCAGCGCACTAGAGCGCCAAACCGTACTCGGTAATCACTATATTAGGCACTTAAAACCGCAGCCTGCAGCAGCATCTGCACTGCATTTTTTTTCTGGGCTTGAGCGTGCGGCCAACCGAGCTCGACGTGTGCAAAGAGATGAAAAAGTGAGATCCGTGGACGATTACTAGTAGTGCCATGAACGGAGAGGGATTTGACAGCGGGTGCACACGCGCGCTGCGCCTGCCTGCTGCCGATGCGACGCTGCTCTCTACTAGTAGTGCTCTTGCAATGTGAATCGCCAAACCAATCATTACTCGAATCAGATTTCCAGTTCCAGGGGTTGCCACAGCCTTTTACAGGCCGCAGTTGGTGAGCACGTACAAGTACAAGTATGGTGCACCATTCCGTGGTTCAGACTTGAGAGCCACAGTGCGGTTTTTTCTTCGTTCCGTTCTCACTCGTGCTCAGCGATTATTGCATTGATGATCACGTTGCATTATTATCCACCGATGAGTCAGTCTCGCCATGTTCGAGTGGCACGCCTCGTTTTCGCGGTGCGAAACCTGGAAACAAGCCCTCTATCCCGGTTAACCCGTACGGCCATAATAACCGCCGCTCTATTCGCTTGCTTGATAAGATGGGGAGAAAAATATTATTTATTAACTGAAAAAAGTACTGCTTATAGATCCAGCGGCGCAAAATGCTAATCCTGGAGCTCCATGTCATGTCCGTGCCTGATGCCTTGATCCCAAAGTAAACGCTGTCGACGCGTGCTGTGTTCTTACTACCTCCCTTGTGCGTGTATGCTAGCTAGAGCTAGCGAACGTGCCTCCGTTAGCGATAGGTCCGCGGATAAAAAAAAATGGGGGAAATATACTAAATGTTCTAATGAATGCCACTCGTATCGTGTTAGTGGACAGGTTTCAGTAACATATTTTCCGGTTCCGGGTCTGGTGTGAAAAAGGACAGTCAAGCATTTCGGCTGGGGCTGCCGCTGGGAAGAAGAAGAAGAAGAAGAAGATGCATCTGTTTCAAACAAGCCACATCCACCTCAGCATCCAGCTTGTCTTGGCTTGGCTACATGGAAGATCATCAGAGGAGCCTTTCACCTTTGAATTTGGTTATTATTCCATCGACTCTGATGTTATGTACTATCCGGAAATGAATGGCTTTTCTCGAGATCTCGATTTTTCTCATCCTCACTGTATATTCTTTCATTTGGACATGCATTCGGAATGCAGCTTTTCTAGCGCTGTCGGCTGTCGCTCAGTTGAGACTTTGAAACTCACAGTGCAGCGTTTCCTTTTTACGTCTCAAAATTAAACGATTTACGTTTACCCTTGTTTGTGCTTTGTACCACTACCGTCCGAGAGGGACACGGACGACTCTCGTACCACTGTCACTTCGAGTGGTTCCTACTAATAATTTGAAACCAAAATCAAAGCCACCCTGCGGATTTTTCTTCTACACAGATGATCAGCCTTCACTCGTACCGTAATAAATAACACCAGTCATGTCCGCAAATAATGATTACTATAGGAGCTACGTACGTATCAAAGATAGGAAGTTAAAACTTAGCAACAGTTATTGTGCGAGAGAATTCCTTCATTGCCAATCAAACCTATAACAATTCTTTTACCACGATTCAATATTATAGACTCCCTTCACTGCCATCTATTTAGAATCTTTTATCTCCCCATTTGCCATTACCGTTGAATGGTCAGGCGCCCGTTATTAATTTGTTGTGTGGATGATTCAAGTGATGTTGAGAAGGATTCATTCACACTGTTGAGAATTGTGACTTGGGTGATGACGAAGAACGGTCAGTTGTGTCTCTTGTTCATTGATCCAAGAACATAATGGGTTAATTTGTTTGTTTTGTCTTTTTTTTAGCTTATTTAATGATGATTCTTTGTGACAACGATCTTAATTATACCGTGAAAATGTATTTTTAAGTTAAGTTGACTTGATGTTACTACTAACCTACTATGATCCAAAACTCTGCCTGTTTTTAAGTTTCCCTTCTAGATCTTAGCGCACGTTTGGTACAACGCCGACACCTACCCGCGAAGACGTGACAAACGTTGGGATTGCCGAAACAGCTTCTATCAAAAAGTTCGGAGAAGTCGGAGTTGTTTTTATACTAGCAAGTAGAAACCGTGAAGACATGCTTTTTTTTTGGCTTCTCCTCACAAATTTAACATAAATTATTATAATAAAATTGTCACTAACGTCGTTTTTGCTAAACATCTTCTAAAATGACTTCAGCTCTACAAGAGGACCAGGGCCTCTTAAGAGGAGCTGAGGCCCTAGGCCTTGGTACCTGATTTTTGTAGTCCCCTACCAGACAAATATCTACTATTTATTAGCTTGTATGTACTCCCTGAAAAGATATTTCAAATGGAGGTAAAATAATAACACGTCTCCTGGAAACACGTTTGTTGAAATGGAAGCCAGAACAACGGGATTGCACCGGTAAAATAATAGCACGTTTGGAGTAATTGTCAGTATTGGAGCTGGAGAATGAAGGAGAGAAAGTACTGTTGGCTTATAAGCCATGGATGAAAGCATTGTTGGCTAATTTGGTGTGAGAGAAAAATACTGTTCGTTGGTTGATAAGTCATGACTTATAAGCCAAATACGACCAAACGAACCGGCCGAATGTTCATCTGATCCAGCTTCAGCGCAATCAAACCGCTCTATTGCGCCACTCCAAACGTGCATGGTGTCCCGGCCATCCATCATCCGATAAAAGTAAAAAAAATTATGAAAAAAAGATCTCACTTCTTATCGTCGCCTTTATCCGAAGTAATCTCAGTAGCGGAAAGGAAACATGAGGGGGTGTATTTTACCATTATTTACCACCAAATATCTTTCACTTTTTCCCCAGCTTTGACGAGTCCCCAGTCAAAAAGAAGAGTTCATCGAGTCTCTTGAGAAGTAGCCGTCGCATTCGAGCCATTTTTTTTATGGCTCGTTCCATCAATTGATACCCATACTTTTGGAGCGTGGCTGTAGTTGTACCCGTACTACGCTAATGGACTTGGCCACTTGGCAAAGTTAAAATACACTGCAGTTCTACAGCCTTCAATTCTTTGTGGATGGATTACAGTAGTTCTGACTACTCCATAAAGTTACTACTACTACTGTTTGCAAAGTTACTACAATCTACTGCACCCTTTGTACAAAAATTAAGACCATTATTTCTGGGTATATGCATCTGAACTTTGCTCTTCTTCACTAAAAAAATACCATGTGTTTTTCTTTCTCAAACAGAATAGCAAATATTCTAGGATGTAGGGTACTAATTAATCAATACCCTAACGCCTGCTGCAAGCTAAACGACAACATTTGTGGCTGTGGGCCCACACTCGATGCATCTTTGTGCAAAATGAGTTCAGACGTTTATATGAAATGACTGCAATTACAACAAGGACCACAATACCTAGACCAACCTGATCGAGCACGCAAAGGCAGCTGCAGATGCAATGCAACCAATTCGGTTCAGGATTATTAGCAACTGGCCCGGGTTTGGGCATGATGCGTAGAGACATAGACAGCTACTTCAAAGTTGATTAGGACTTAACTGAACCGATTGGTGGGCGGAATTGTACTAGTCCTACTACTATGCTTTATGGACCACACACACACACATGCGATGCGATGCGACACTATTAGAGGCCGGCCGATAAGCATCGTGGAAAAAGATAAGCACTTCCAGCTCAGAGTGGCTGCACTGATCTGTACCCGGCACACATTCTCTAATCTCCTCAAATGCTCACTTCTATATTGCATATACGATGCTTTTTTCCGTGTAGGCTCTTCCTAGTATCCCTAGAAATGGGGGTAGCTAGTACCATTGCCATCCTACATATGCAGGCCTTCCATATAGATGGACAAAGATCTTCAGGGCTGAAGAGGAAAGCAAGCCGGGGACCCCTGCACAGGGCATAAATGTTAAGCTCACATGATATGCATGTTAGGCCCCATATTGCGGTTTGCATGCCTTCATGCATTCCTTTTAATTAGTAACTTATTCCTTACTCCTAAAATGAGTATTTAGCATAGATTACCTTCAATAAATAGGGGTACATATGAGTAATTTTAAGTGAGCACCATCAGTCCTAAAAATCATAAATTGTCATGTTTTTTGGACCGAGGGAGTAGTGTATTCTAAAGATTTTAGGACAAATTAAGAGAGAATACAAAAATACACATATATACCCTTACTTCATTTCCTAATCAAACACTATATTTAGCGTGATAAATGAAAATTGGTTGATAAATGGCAAGTAATGATATAATACTTAATGAACTTGTGCTTCTGTTTAATGCAAAACTATCTCTTATCCCCTTGAATCTCTTATATTTGGATACAAATTTTGAATGCTTGGATGCACTATATTAGAGGACAGAGGAAGTAAGCTACGATAGCTTTTTATAAAGACCCAGT